TCCTATTACAGAAGAGTGCTAAGAAATGGTGGGAAACATCAGGACCGAAGGATGATTCCTCTCTTACTTGGGAAGATTTTAAAGCCATATTGTTCGAGAATTATTTTCCTACTGCACTGAGAGCAGAAAAGGAGGCTGAGTTTCATGCATTTCGTCAGGGTGATCTAGATGAGGATGAATTTATTGAACAATTCTCAGAATTATCTAAATACTCCACTTACCTCCAAAAACATGAAGATACAGAGTGGATGGCTGAACGATTACTAGAGAAGGCGAGGCCTGATCTAAGAGAACAGTTAGCCCCTTTTGAGATCAAGACCTTCAGTGAGATGTGCAATAAGCTTCGAATAGTTTCTCGGAGGAAGAGAGAGGCTAGATTAGAAGCTGATAGAGAGAGGAGGAAAGAACCTCATGGGAAGCCCCCTATCCACACCAGACCCATTGGTGGAGTAGAGAAGAGGAGCAGTCAAATCTTTGGAGGCTTTAGAAATCAGAAGAAGAAGGGCTACTATCATAAGGGCCAGAGCTACAGAGGGAATCAGAGTGGAAGTCAAGGGTCCTATAGGAGCCCAGCTACCTTTAATCCTACTCCTAGTGCTGCTAGCAATCAAGCATGCAGTAAGTGTGGGAAGTTTCATTCTGGTGATTGTTGGGTTTGTTACATCTGCCAGAAACCTGGTCATATTGCCCGATTCTGCTATCAAAATCAGAATAGGGGTAATAATCAGAGACCTACAGTACCAGCACGAGTGTATGCCCTCTCTGGACCAGAGGCTGCTAACAACCCTAATGCTATCAGAGGTATAATCCAAATCCTTTATAATGATGTTTGTGCTTTGTTTGATTCGGGTGCTACACACTCTTTTGTGTCTGATGAATGTGTGAAAAGATGTAAATTGCCTGTGTGTACCTTACCTTTTGATGTGAAGATTTCTACTCCTGCTGGTTTGACTGTAAGGACTGCTAAGGCATGTCTAAATGTAGAGGTTGAGTATGAGGGTCGAAAGACCACCATAGACCTCATTTGTTTGTCTTTGTCTGGGATTGATGTTATTGTGGGGATGGATTGGTTGTCTGCAAATGGAGCTGTACTTGATTGTCAGAAAAAGAGTGTGTCACTTTCAGCTCTTACTGTAACCCCTGTAGAGTCCCAAAGTCCTATGTTGTTGTCTGCAGCTCAAGTAGAACAGTGTATAAGAAAGGGTGTCAAGCTTTTATGATTTTCTTCTCAATCAAGGCAGAGATTGAAGAAGGTGTAGATCAGATTCCAGTAGTGAGAGAATTCCCTGACGTCTTTCCTACTGAAGTGATCGGTTTGCCTCCAGAACGAGAGGTTGAGTTCTCAATTGAACTCGTACCTGGTACGGGGCCTATTTCTAAGGCACCCTATAGGATGTCTCCATCAGAGTTAGCTGAATTGAAGAGACAAATTGAAGAGTTGTTAGAGAAGGGGTTTATCAGACTGAGTGTATCACGATGGGGGTCACCGGTACTGTTTGTGAAAAAGAAAGATGGAAGCCTTAGATTGTGTATTGATTATAGACAATTGAATAAGGTAACCATCAAGAACAAGTACCCCTTACCTCGAATTGATGATTTGTTAGACCAATTAGTCAATTCAGCGGTGTTTTCTAAGATTGATCTAAGATCAGGGTATCATCAATTGAGGGTTAGAGCAGAAGATATCCCTAAAACTGCTTTTAGGACTAGATATGGGCACTATGAGTTCCTGGTGATGCCATTTGGGTTAACAAATGCCCCAGCTGTCTTCATAGATTATATGAATCGAATCTTCAGGCCTTATCTCGATGAATTTGTTGTAGTCTTTATTGATGACATACTTATTTATTCTCGAGATGAGGTAGACCATGCTAGACATCTTAAAATTGTTTTGGAGATATTAAGAGAGCACAAGCTCTATGCCAAGTTGAGCAAATGTGATTTTTGGCTTAAAGAAGTTAAATTCTTAGGCCATGTTGTTTCAGAAGAAGGGGTAGTGGTGGACCCTAGTAAGATAGATGCAGTGATGAAATGGGAGCAACCTCGAAGTATGACAGAGATTAGGAGTTTCTTGGGTCTTGCAGGCTACTATCGTCGTTTCATTAAGGGTTTTTCACAAATTGCAATGCCCTTGACTAAGTTGACCAGGAAAGATGCTCCATTTATTTGGACGAACGAGTGTGAAGTTGCCTTCCAGGAGCTAAAAAAGAGGTTGACCACCACACCGGTGCTCACCTTACCTATTCCAACTTCTCCTTATACCTTGTATACTGATGCTTTTAAGAAAGGTTTAGGTTGTGTATTGATGCAGGAGGATCGAGTAGTGGCTTATGCCTCTCGACAGTTGAGACCTCATGAGGAAAATTACCCTACTCATGACTTGGAGCTTGCTGCTGTGGTATTTGCCTTGAAGATTTGGAGGCACTATCTTTATGGTTCTTCTTTTGAAGTCTTCAGTGATCATAAAAGTTTAAAATATTTGTTTGATCAAAAGGAGCTCAACATGAGACAGCGCAGATGGATTGAGTTTTTGAAGGATTATGACTTTGAGTTGAAGTATCATCCAGGGAAAGCTAACGTAGTCGCCGACGCTCTGAGCAGGAAGCTTGTACATACTGCTCACATGATGGTCAGAGAACATGAATTATGGAGTAGTTTTCATGCAGTAAATGTAGAAGTAGTCGAAAATCGTTTGGCTGCTCTACACATTACTGAATTTGAGAATAATTTTTGGGAAGAAATTAGAATTGCGCAACAGAAGGATGATTATTTGAATAAGATTAGGGTAGAGATTGGGGCTGAAAAGGCTGAACATTTTGATGTGACCGATGATGATGTCGTAAGATATAAAGGTAGAGTGTGTGTGCCTAATGATACTCGATTGAAAAATATCCTACTTGAGGAGGCTCATCAGAGTAAATATACCATTCACCCAGGAGCAACTAAGATGTATCATGACTTAAGACGTGGTTGGTGGTGGCCAAGGATGAAGAGAGATGTAACTGAACATGTAACTCGTTGTTTGACTTGCTAGAAAGTCAAAATTGAGCATCAGAAAACCAGCCAGAATGCTACAGTCTCTTGATATTCCAGAGTGGAAATGGGACAGCATTTCTATGGACTTCATTACAGGATTGCCTAGAACATCTTCTGGTCATGACACTATATGGGTAATCGTAGATCGACTCACCAAATCAGCTCATTTTCTTGCTACTAATATCAAGTATTCTCTCGAAAAATTAACTGAAATCTACATAAGAGAAGTGGTGAGATTGCATGGAGTGCCGAAAAATATTATATCTGATCGTGATCCGAGATTCACATCAAACTTTTGGAAGTCATTACAAGAAGCCATGGGTACTCGTCTGAGTTTTAGCACAGCTTACCACCCCCAGACCGATGGGCAAACGGAACGAACCATACAAACTCTTGAAGACATGTTAAGAGCGTGTGCCATTGAGCTTAGAGGTAATTGGGATAGTCACTTACCATTAGCTGAATTTGCCTACAATAATAGTTTTCATTCTAGCATTCAGATGGCACCTTATGAGGCATTGTATGGAAGAAAATGTAGATCGCCACTGTGTTGGACAGAATTAAGTGAGAGAACTGTTTTGGGGCCGGACATTGTTGATGAGACTACCCAAAAGATTGCTTTAATCAAGCAAAAATTACTCATAGCTCAAAGTAGACAAAAGAGTTATGCGGATAAGAGGAGAAGACCGCTTGAGTTTGAAGTAGGTGACCATATATTTTTAAAAATCTCTCCGGTAACTGGTGTTGGAAGAGCTATTAAGGCTAAGAAGTTAACACCAAGGTTTATGGGGCCTTTTGAGATCTTAAAACGAGTTGGACCAGTAGCGTACCAAGTAGCATTACCACCCCAAATTGCTGGAATACACAACGTATTCCATGTGTCACAACTGAAAAAGTATCAACCAGATCCTTCCCATATAATTGAACCCGAGGAAATTGAACTCAGGGAGAATTTAACATTCAAAGCTGAACCAGAAAGGATTGTGGATTATAAGGACAAGCAATTAAGAAACAAGACCATTAGATTGGTTAAAGTAATCTGGAAGAGCACAACTCCAGGTGATGCTACGTGGGAGACCGAGGACAGTATGCGACGTGATTATCCTCGTCTTTTTGATTAAGTGAGTAGTTAATAGTTACTAATTTTAAATTTTGAGGACAAAATTTCTAAAAGGAGGGGAGAATTGTAACATCCCAATTTAAATTTTAATAGTTAATTTAGGTTAATAGAAATTTTTTAAAAAAAAATTTGGTGTGTTACACTTATCACTGTACTCGAGCCATGCAGCGCGTTATTTACGGGCAATGACCTAGCATTAATATTATAACGTCTATTGTCCATGTATGAAAAAAAAAATGTTTTAAAGAGTTTGCGTGCTTTGTAGAAGACAGAGCTTCTTATGCATATCTTTTTCCAACCATTAGACAGAATCGTCCCACTTCCAATCCACGGCACAAAATCCACTACACGTGATCCCTACAAAAGCACGAGTTAATCCTAGCCTCAATCCTAACATGGGAGATTAATATTTCATTGAAATTGGAAAATGAACTTGGTAGAAGCAAGTTACTAATAACATAGAGCAATCATTAAATAGATCAAAGCATTAATTCAAATTTTAATGATTAAAACTATAATTAGACTAGTCATGAATAAATTATTTTATTGAATCCATTAAAACACTAGTTAAACAGTTTTTCAGTTTAACTTGACCCGGTTTTCAATATGACAACAGCTACTGTCAAATGCTCCCACTTCCAACGAGGCCAGAATCATATGAAACAGAAAGAATGGATTATTTGGATTTTATCTCGAAACACTCGGAAGTGGGCTGAGTGAAGTGACAAGCCCATACCGTGGCCCAACTTATAACATTGAGAATGGCCTATGTAAATGAATAACCCCACTTCCAGTCCAGTCCAGTCCACATTTGTTATTTGTATATTATGATTCGTCATTTCTCGATCCTGTGGCTTCGACGATGGCGACTCTCACAGCCTCAGCATTTCTGAAAATCGCAGCTTGTTCCAAAATCAGAGCTCAATCCCATCAATACCCAGTTTTCGTATCCCCCGATGAACACAAGCTCATCCCGCCAGCGCGATTCTTTCTAAAGAAAACCACAATTCCGTTCGTCTCCAATCGATCGAGTGCATCCGCGGGGTCTTCCCCTGGACTGTACTCTGCCCAGAAATTCGACCTCAACGTTTCAAACGTCGACCTCGTTCTCGAAGATGTTCGTCCTTACCTCATATCTGATGGTGGCAACGTAGACGTCGTGTCCGTCAAAGATGGCGTTATATCTCTCAGGCTCCAAGGTCCTTTCGCTTCCTTTCCTCCAACTTCGCACCCATCTTCATTTTTTCCCTATATTCTTCATGTTCATTTATAAATCAGGAGGGAATTGTTGCGAAATATTCTGTATTTTTTCCCCGCTTTCGGAAGTCATTCAGAACTGATTATAGTTCACTATCTGGGGTGGGGGCTATGGCAGTCTAGATGATAAAAGCATTTGATTCTACCAGGCTTGATGTCCGAGTGGTACAGATTACAGTTTCAGATAGAACTGATGATGTATTGAAATGTTGCTATAATGAACAGGAGCGTGTGAAAGTTGTCCCAGCTCAACAACGACAATGAAGATGGGAATTGAACGTGTGCTTAAGGAGAAATTTGGAGATGCAGTGAAGGATATTCAGCAAGTATACGATGATGAAATGAGGGAGACGACTGTTGAGGTAAGTTTTTCTCCTGTCACGAGTGGACAATGAATCAAATTGATTTTTAGAAGGGGAAAAAATATCTTGATGGTTTTGTTGGGATATACTCTGCTATTGTAGGCTGTGAATAACCATCTTAATATCTTGAGACCGGCCATTAAAAATTATGGAGGCAGTGTGGAAGTATTATCTGTGGAAGGAGGGGAGTGCCATGTGAAGTACGTGGGGCCTGACTCCATTGGATCAGGAATCAAAGCAGCCATCAAGGAGAAGTTCCCTGACATTGTGAATGTTTTGTTCTCCGAGAATTAGCATAGAGATCTGTATATAAAGATGCTACTATGTGCTTTAGCAAATGAGTAAAAACATGGAAGGACGCTAGCAGCATAAAGCACGTAAAATTATTAAAAGCTTTCGGAGCATACATTGTTAGTCTGGGCTGTTTTTTTAATCCTCTTATACATAACGCTAGCTGATTCAGCTAGGGAGACATTGAGTTCAGAAGTTAAGGCCTTACCATGATCGGGAAATACTGTATTCGTCAACTTGCCCAAAAACAAAAAATGCATGTTATTATAGTCCAATATAACGCTGGCCTAATCTCTTGATAATCTTAATGTTTGTTTGCTGTTCTTTCTCCCAGTTTGGCTGGCCCCCAGCCCCAAGATACAACACATCTATTCTAGGCTGACTTGTCTGTTTTGGCAGTAAAGACTGTTCTGAACCATCGTGATAAATTGATTAGGAGAAACGTATACACGAAGTAGCAAGTGGCCGTCCATGTAACTAGTCCCTGCATCAGATATGCATGGTGTCAAGGTCGTAAGAAGGAATTAAGTCTTCACCAAAACATGCAAGAGAATGTAAGAAATGCTCTTAACAGACTTGATGAACTACCTGGCCAAAGATTTCGATATTGGCTTGTGGATAGTACCAAAGGTGGAGAAGTCTGAAATAACCAAACATATATATGCTTCAAAAATCTCATATCTATTTTATGTATACCATGGCCATAGGGTATAATGGGAAGGAGAAAAGCTTTACTTCATTAGGGGAATCTCAGCGAGTGGGCAAGCAAGACCAACGAAGCATGCAAGAGTGAAACCGGACCAAGTCCGGTCCAACAAAAGCCATAATAATTCTGCCGCGGCGAACAGTATGTAGGCTTCAATATTGTCTGCTATCCCGGCTTTGTAAATTTCAGCACTCAGTTCAATAAAGAATGCTACCAATCTACGACAGATATGATAACAAGTTTTACTGTCCTTAAAGATATCGCAAAAAAAACTACAACGTCAAACTATTTATAGATGATATACTAGATTCTTACATCAGAGAGGCGATTGTTTTTCGAAAACTTGCGTCTTGAACGTTGTCAAAGACCCTTTCATCCAGATAGAGCTGGAGCAACCCAAGAACGCAATAAAACGAACCCAGCAAAAAGGGGACCTAGAGAGATGAATTTGGAGGAAAGAGGTCTAAGAAAGAGGAAGGAAAATCGGGAAGAAAAGAGAGATGGAGAAGAAGGTAATACCCAGACGTTGGTGTGGAGGGGGCCTAAATCAATGGAGCCTGATCGGTATACCACAAGATTGACTCTAGAATGGAGGCCGTCGAAGAGGGGGCCGAGGAAGAAGCCAGAACCAAAAAGTGAAAACGAAACGGAAGGCCATGAAGTTGTAGGGCTTGTGGTGCTTTCTTGTCTCTGAGCACAGACTGGCTTGAGAAGATAAGATGTGGATATTTTGCGGCGAGGAGAGTGACTGAGTTGGTACGAGCAAAAGCTCCAACTCGAAGCAAACACTGATTGCATATTCTTCTTCTTCTTCGCTTTTTTAACTTTCTTCTGGAACCATTCCTATTTTCTAGCGTGGCAGGGAAGCCGGGATAAATGGACGTGAAGATGGAACATGGAAGTCCCATAACTCGCCGACAGAATTAAGTGGAAAGATTAAAATCCCGCTAATTTACTTTTTTCAAAAAAAAATTTGTTTTATTAATGAAAGTAACAGAAAAATCTCGTTGAAATGTAAATGACAATAAAATCTTGTATTATAGTTCTTTTCAAGTGCTTAAAAATTTGTCTAACATTAATAATTTTTGAAAAAATAACTAAAATTAAACTATTGTTTATTTTATTTTAATCATTATAAAAATAGATAGTTATTACTTAAATTAACATAATTATGAATATTTACAATATTTAAACTTTAATGAATTAAGAATTTATATAGATAAAGTTGCAATTGCTTGTTCCATTCTAATCATTACAAAAAGAAAAAAGAGTAAATACTACTTAAGCGAAAGTAGTCATGAATATTTATATCACTTATACTTCAATAAATAAAAAAAAAATTATATCAATAAAGTTGTAATTACTTGTTTTGTTGTAGTCATTGTCACAATAAAGTAATTATTACTTAAATTAAAGTAGTGACATATTTATAACATTTGGACTTTAATAAATTCAAAATTTACACAATAAAATTTATAATTGCTTGTTTTGTTTTAGTCATTATAAAAAAATTTATTATTTAAATTAAAATAGTAATCAATATTTAATTTTATTTTTGCCAAAAGTTGTTACTTTTTTATTTTAAAATGGGAATATTTTAATCATTTAAAAAAATCATGAATGTAGAAATGTCCTTAAAGACTTGAAGAATTATGATATTTCACAAATTTTATTACCATTTACACATTTAAGAGATATTTTTTACCATTTACACTTTGGATTTCAAGAGATATTAATTAGATTTCAGGTGTTCTCTTTTCTGATTAATTTTTTTTCTCTAAAATCATTCTTTCAACGTGAGATAACACTAGAGAAAATTACACTTGAGACCCATAGAAGAGATTTACTTATCTAAAGATTTCATAAAATGAACAAAATACTCTTAAATTTCAAATCTTGTATATTTACAACTTAAAAAAAAGATATTTATAACAAGGCAATGAGCATATTGTAAGTTAAAAATTCTCCTTACACTTGTAAATGTCTTTTGCCAAATTATAAATGTGCAGAATTTTAAACTCAAAAATATTTTATGCATTTCATTAATCCTCTTGTTACCCATTAGACTAAGCATTCACAAAAAAATTATAATAATAACAAAATGATAAGACTACACTTATTTTTAGTATAAGAAAGATGAATGATAATAACAACAAATGTTATCCCCGTAAATCTGGTTACATAAATTTGTATGATACCAGTATTCTGTTAAACAATGCTTGAGATGGAATGAGAAAGATAATTAAATTAAAAAGAAATCAATTGCAGCATTTAAAATAGGAGTGATCAAATATAATTCAATTGTATATTACCGATAATGACAAATCAGTTAAAAGAACATCTGGTCGTTAATGTCACTTTGGAGGGTCTTCCGTTAGTTATTTTGCTCAAATATCAGCTTTGGGGGGTCACTTAAATTGAAAAGCCCCATTCGCTCATACAATCTTCACCTATATATGCTTATTTACATTAAACAACAACAACAACAAGTCTTTATCTCACTAAGTGAGGTCAGCTATATGAATTGCAAGACGCCATTGTACTCTATCATTTATCAAGTTTTTAGGAATATTATTAATTAAAAGATCGCGTTCAATTACATGGCTTATTTACATTAAAAAAAAAAACAAATGAAAGTTTGTCTGGTCTGAAACACCTAACAACCGTACAAAGCTTTGCCAACATACAAATTAAAGTTAGGCTCATGCTGTACCAACAGATATAAAAGTTAGAAGAAGCCAGTCTCCATCCAGAAGGAAGCAAAGAACTTCAGTTAGAAAATCTGAAGTTCTGGGACATGAATATACCCCTACATCTCACCGAATTCCTCATGCCCGCTAACACTCAATCTATTCTCCCATTACACCTGACAATGACCAGCAAAACATAACTAAGCAAATATGGCGAAAAAGCATGCTTTCCTGTGCTGGTTCACAGGACAAAGAAATGGAAAGGAGACCCAACATATAGCCTTCATTTTAAGAATGCATAAAAGATCTAAAGTCATAAATGAATACAATTGCTCTAAGCCCTCATGTATTCTCTCCTCAATTAAACTTGATTCATTACCACTTGACTATAGATCAGAGGCCTTCAGTTTTCTAGGCCTTTTAGACTGAGCCGGTGATGATGGAGCTTCTGATATCCGCCCAGGCGCCTATACAAAGAATTTAAAAGGGAAAAAGAAAAAACAGTCGCAAGTATCAACAATACCGCAATTATGCAAATGGTCAAGAAACGAGGAGAAAAAATTATTTAAAAGACAAACAAGACAAAAAGTCAGCACCTTGCGTTTCTGGTCCCTTTTACCAACCCTCTCACCTGAAATCACGGTTATAAACATGGCTTCAACGACGTGTACCTTAAAGCCCCCAAAAATTTAAAAAGGAATAAAAGGTAGCAAGTGGCCCAAAATTAATACATTACCTCCAAAACTCATAGAATCTGGAATAAATGTCCTATCCTGATCCCCAAATGATTTAAACACTGTCAGTATGTTCATTATCACAAATTCTAGGTCTGGAACTAGAATTGTGTGCTTGGACAATCACGAAATCAATACAGTGAAACAAATGAAGGGGAGAAGTAACCCCCAAATAAACTAGTTTTCTAACCTTCGGTGTGCCAGGTGTTTCAGCGTATGAACCATCACGACCTTCTGCCTCCTTATACTGCAGCTGAAACAACAAGCAATTAAATGAAGTAAATCAACAAATAACTTTGAGAAAGGAAGTTCTTTTTTCACATTTCTGATTAAAATTCTATATGAAAAGGCATTTTCAACAATTTTGGCATTCTAAGATGAGAAAGCTCATCTGCATCTAATTATAAAGAAATCTTAACGGCTAATCACACTTCTATCATACAATAACAAATACCTGCTTCTGAAGATTGAGCAGAGTTAGTATTTCTTTTCTTAATTCAAGATGTTCTGCACAAACAGCTTTCGTTGGAACCCTTGGTTTTAAATTAACCTGAAATCAAGGGCGAAGATATAAAAGCAATGTCTAGGAAAATAAACAAGTATATTGTGCACTTCACTACCAACAGGAAACAGCTACTTAGTTGCTAAGATGGTCATGGTATTTTCATGACCGCAGAAGCAATAAAACAGATAAATCTGAACTGTATACAGGGTGTGTAAACAAACCCCAAGTTCTTGCAGTGTTTGTTCCACCCGTTTAATGGTCCGTAGTCCAGCAGATGAGCTTGCAGCTTGGACCATTTGCTCAAGCGCATATGTTCTCAAATACACACGAAGCTGAAATAATTCTCACTGTTAGACTATGATGTCAAGAATAGTAAATCGCCAAAAGTATAGATAAATAGCAGAATGTTAAAAATTGCCTCTCATAAAATTTATTAGAAGGACCACATGACCGAAGGTAGAAGATGCATTTGCTTACCATGCGAAGGGAAGCAAGAGTGGACGCATTATCTGCTGTTGATGTGGATGGAACGACTGTCGATGGAAGCTGAACACCTGATGGAAGATCACCAGAGATAGCCTTCTCCGTAGCCTCCACACCAGCATTTGATGCAGCAGCAACCTCAGACTCTTCAGCAACCTAGACATGTAGGAAATTGGGCACATGAATACTCATGACGAAACTTATATTACAATGAGCATTAATTTTGATAATAGTGACCCTAAACAAACTGATTCAAGGCCACTCATTCAACAGACTTTTTCTTATCAGTAAAACTGAATAGTTATAAGGTTACAATAGAAGAGAGCTGCATATAAATACAAGGGCCAAAAATATCCGCAAGTTTTTCAGTTCAACAATATGAAAAGACTAAACCACTAAATCATCAGCTAACCTTGATCAAACGTGTATCTCTTCATTAATAGTGGTATCAAAACATGGATAAATACCTTAGCAGGCATGCGTGATTCAGTTATTCTTTTTGCCTCAGCAAGAACCTACACAAATTTAACAAAATTAGTGCAAACTAGACATAAATGAATATAATTAATAAAAAATGGCCAATTAAAACCTCTTGATCTTTTCGCTCTTGTTGCTTTGTCTGAGAGAGGTACATGGACAGTGCTCGTTTCCGCTCTACCTCTTGTGAAACATTGTATGGTTCCTACAATGAAACAGATGAACAGAAGGCAGGTTCAAATGGTATCATGATATTCAAGTTTCATTTTACACAAAATAGTCTACTCAAAAAGGAAACAAAGTGACTTGAAAGCACCAAGCAATAACTCCCTAGAGGTATTATATGAAGTTTAATGTACCTTAACTATAGGATGCATTGCAACATCCCCAAAAGATGGAGCCCTAGCAATTAATAGAGTCCGAGATACTACAGGACAACAATCAGGAAAATCAAATTCAAATTTAAATATCAAAATCCACTTATATAGCCTATAAACAGCCAATCAAAACACAAATCTCAAAGCATGATGCATATATGAAAATAAATCAAATGGATAGCAAGCGAGCAACATAACTTAGTTCAGTGAATAATTGACAAGTACCATTATAATATCGGTCTTTCAACTCCTCTACAGTTCGCGATGATGGGAACCTGTCAGCTATTACAACAAACCGAAGATCAAACCTCTCACACAAGTCAAACAGTTGATCTGTCTCTTCCTTGGTCCACATCTACATGGTAGAAATATAACAGGTGAGAGCAGGATGCTTTATGCATCATAAAAGAAAAGGATGTAGGATACGCTGTTCTAATGTCAATCTCCTTTGACTCTTCAAGGATAAAAAGAAAAAATCAACAAAGGTGATATTATGGATAACACAAGTAAAGTAAAAATAATATCCAGATATATTTCCCATTAAATGACATCAAAATTTCCTCCCTCTTGGTCCACAATACATATATATTGACAAGGAAAAAAGAAAAAAAGTCACAGTTACAAACCTAAGGAAGTTGGTCCGATCTAAATTCTGCATGTTCATAAAATCCCAGGCCAACAATCATTTTAAATAAAAAAGTTATAAGACTACCGTAGATTATCATTCATGGCATTACCATCAGAACAACCCAAAAAATAAAATAACATTGAACACCACAAATACATTCTATTCAAGCCTCGTATTTACTGGATCTGTCAGATGCTTCTCATACTCCTCATCTGTGTATTTGATGATGTCTACAGACTGCACCACAGCAAATGAACTAGAATTCACCAATATGAATAAAGATGCCGAACTCAATAATCAAAGTTGTTTAGAAAGAAAATCACTCATGGCCATAAATGTGAACAGGCAGTTACCTTGTTATACTTGGCAAAAGAATAGTCCCCAGTTGGTGGAACACCATTTACAACTCGGACCTGCAAAACAAATAATGACATTTTCAGAGCTCATGTGTAGTAAGAGATTACCAAAAAAAAATTGAAGATATAGAACTCACCCAATGGTAAAGTTGAAGATTATCTTTACGGGCAGAATTGGTGAAAGGAAGCCACTGCCAAGTGATCTGAAGGAAGAATCCCAAACATTTAAAAATTAGTAATGACATCATAACTTAATATCTCTAGTCGACTAAAAGCATTATATAAACTGTGAAAATCAGGTAACATGTTGCAGGATTTGCTCATTGGATGTAACGAGTATTAGACATTTTTATCCTTTAAATGTTTTTACAGCATATTTGATTGACATTAGAGCTGAAAGTTTGGAAATAAAACAAAGAACTAAAGCTATTGAGCAAAAGAAAAGAAAAGAAAATGAAGCTCAGATGTCCACAGTTTGCTCATTTACAAACATAATTGGGCATCAAAAAGTATTCTCATGGGTTCGCTTAGCATAGATCCTTCCTCAAAAATGGAGAATTACGTATATTGACATGGCTGTGGGAAAAATTAGAAAGCAACACCACTTCAAATGAGAGTTTAGCTGAAACCACCAACATATACTTCTAAAATACTTCAAATATCAAAAACGACATTGCAACCAAAATCACTTCTCAAGAAGAAGAGGAAAGCATAAGACAAATAACTAAAGAAAATCAAATGAAAGAACCTTCTCGTCAGATGGAGGCCTTTTCTTTAATTGAGATAAATCAATTGCAGGCATAAGAGGCGCCAAACCACCCGTGAGCGCATATACCTACAGACACCCCAACAAAGACTTGGTCAGCTTTGCAGAACTTGGTGTTAATAAACATGAACAAAAGATGGATTAGATACCTCCCGTGAAATGCCATCTGGTTTTCTCTGTGAATCTTTTTGGGGCCGAGACCTTTTCTCTTGAATTGGCAAGGAAGTTTTGGGCAAACCTAGGATGTCCTTGGCATCCATGGAAATTTCTGAGGAAATCTAGGGCGAAGCTTCTCCAATTTTCTTTATGTACAACCACCAAAGCAAAAAACAAAAAACAAAACTCACAGCTCAAAAGGGTCAACTAGGGTTTCGAACTCTTGTCCCAATTTTCACTCAACCAATAGTTTGATTCAAGAAGTCAGACTTCAGTTTGAGGAACCGAGGTCTTTTGAATATTTTTCCTGCAGGAAAGCAATTAGAAGATTTTAGGCAATATTCAATACATCCATCACGCCTCCGCTCCATGACTTGGTGCAAAGTGCGGACTAGGGGTGTGTACGGGCCAGTTATCAATTTAAAGCCCAGCCCAAAAAAATCCGGGGTTCCGGTCTTTAACCTGTGATCCCGTCTGACCCAGACTATCCCAGCACAGAATCGGGTTCGACTGGGTTAGGGGGATTGCTGCCCACTAAAAAGAAAAGAAAAGAAGAGGAAATATGTACAACCACAACACAACATGGCCCAAGGGGAATCTGATTCTCATTTTGAATGAACCAAAAAATTGTAAACCTGAAGGCTGGAGTCTATTTAATCAATATTTCAACTAATAAACAGTGTTTCAAGTATGCAATGTGTGTTTCAAAAGAGTTTGCCCAAAAAAGAATAGAGGGAGAGAGGATTTTATTTCAGACACAACCTAGAAGACCCACGAGACATGAAAGCAAGTTAACAATATTCTTAAACACACAACTTAATCGGAACCATAATATATAAACTTGAGATATGTTCAATCAATATCCAGCCATTCAATAAACAAGTTAACAAGATATATTCAATCAATATCCAGCCCTTCATTGAACATGTTAACAAGATATATTCCATCAATGAACAACATACATACATACATAAAGTATAAACATCAACGCTGCTGCAATTCAATCTTCTTCTTGTGCTGAAAATTCATATACATTACGGGGAAGAGAATGCTTGAAACTATTAAATCAATAAACAAGTTAACAGGATATATTTCCAATCAAAGCCCATAAGAAACACATAATTTAAACCAGATGCTTTCGATATTATGAATCATAACCAAAAACCATAAGAAATATACTATGGTCCAAAAACATAGGCCTGGCTTGGGAGGAGTCATTGAATTTTAAGAGGTTGGAAATGAGATTGGGAGTGGCATTGAGAGCAATGTTGGGAGTGGAAATAAATTTTAATCGATGTTTAGTGGGATTAAAAAAAACTACTAGATCAAACAAAAATTAAATAGAAAGGCATAAATACCCCCATCTTCTTCCTTCAACCAATGGCTATTGAGCTCACCACATCTGGACCAAGGCACGATGGGTTCAATTTATTATTTGGAGAACCTTATGAAAACATTTACAGAATGAAAAATCCCACCGATTTGAATTGTAATAAGAACTAAAAGTAAGTTTCAACATTACATTAAAGAAAAAGGAGAATAATGAAAAGAATGACTTGCAAACTCCAATTTCAGAACAAAATGAGATCGACTACTTCCTAAAAGTAAAACCTTCTCATCTGATGAACTTTTATGCCAAGGGTGACCTTCTCATCTGATTGATGGTGTTTAGTGTGGAGGAGGAGAAGGAAGGAGACACTATGAGGCAGCGACTATAGACGGTGTTGTGACGTGATATAGTGCAAGGCGACAGTGCAACAGGTACAACATCAATGGAAGCTTGGAGCAATGTGAAGGGACAACTAAAATGACATGGGACTTTGAAAACAGAGAGAGACTTCAAACACCAACAAGGATAGTGAAGGGAGAGATGAGGGGAAGGGATGGAGTGAAGGGACAACCTAGTCTTAAAATGTTCAGTCTTAGGATTAATTTTTTAATAGGGGGAGGTGGTGTCAGGTAATTGAGGAGGTGGTATCAAGTAATTCCATGTAAGTAGGGATTAATATTAGGATTGGAATGCTTTTTACTACCTGCAAATGATTAAAAGTTGGGATTACTCAATCCTAATAACAGGCTGTGGATAATATATAATCCATTGACAAGAAGCTTAATATATAGTTAAATTTATTAACTCAAGTAGAATGCATTCTCATGGGTAAGAATAATTAAAGAAAAGAAACTCATAGCTACATCTGATGGAAAAGGAGGTACCTAGTTGACGAGCTTCAAATAGATCAACAGAAGGTTGGAATGGTGTGGACAGATGGATGGAGTGTAAGAGAAAGACGAAGATGAAGCCACTTTGGCGATTTTAGGTCAATAAGCATAAAGATTAACTTAGGAAGGGGGGGAAACATTAAAAGCAATACCACATGGATAGAGTAGTAGAAGAGAGAAGAGTAATGAAAGCCAACGATGTTCAATGGAGACGGATAGCATAGGATGGCTGTTGAAGAAAAAGAGGAAGAGAAGGGCAAAAGAGACGTTGGTCGATCGAAGGATGCCTGAAATGGTGAAACGAAATGCTGAATTGGGATTTTTTTTTAGGCCAACATTGGATTGAGAATTTAGATTTTACTTTTTACTTTAGGCTCTATTTGGCACAAAGATTTTTTGCAAATAGAAAGGGGAATTGCATGGGAATGTCCCCCCCCCCCAATATTTCGACCTATGAATACGTTTGGTTTGTAGAATACTTTTATCAAAATGGGAAGGGAAAAGAAAAGGGATAATATCCATTGAAAAACTCTTGCAAAATTTAATACTTGACAAGAATTTTTAACAAATAAATATTGATAATTAATAAGCAAAATTATTGTTTTAACAAGTAGTTAATTTGTTCAATTGTTTCTTAAATATAAATTCTTTCAATAATTCTTTATTAATATTCTCCCAAAACAAAATGAGATAAGAATATTTTACCAATTAGAGAAGAAAAGGAACATTATTTGGTTCAATGGCAAATAAAAATAAATTGAAGTACTATAAGTCATCGATCTTTCAATAAATAAAAATATTCTTTAACCTATATAATGGAAACTACTAAAATAGCATCCAATTTTAATTTTTTTAAATTGTAAAAAATGTTTGTTTAAGATAAAAAATGTTTTATTTACAAAATATTTCTCATTTGAATTTAAGATACAGTGAATATGCTGGCAAAAAAAAAAGACATACTGAATTTGATTTCTTTAAAAATATGTCATAGTTTTTTTTGTGTTAATATGTGATAGAAGTGTCTTGAGACCCGCTCATTGAAATATATATCATTACCAATAGATATAACAACATTTCAAATAAGGAACATTAAATTATTTGTTTCACCGTCAATGCTATTGGACTGATCAAGAGAGATTTTCTACATGATCATTCCTTTGGGAATATCTCATAGCAAGTTAGAGTACTATTTAATAGAGATTGAAATGTAAAGAATTTTATGTTAAGAGACTTTATTTACAATGCTATTAGATTAACTAGACTTATTCAGATCATGTCAGTCCAAAATTACATCCTTAACTATCCTCTACCTTGAGTTAGGAAGATAAAGGAGGGTAAAAGAAGCTTGTATTTTGTTGTACCTATGTAATTCTTGTTGAATTTATGAACTATTTTTATTTTTAAAAAATATTTGCTTTGGCAAGTAAACTAAGCAAATATGTTTGTTTGTTTTTTTTAATATCAAAAGAGAACCTTCATAGTTCATACAAAACTCAATCAGATTAAACTGCGCAAAACTCTCCTCTCTTTCAACCATTATTTCAAAAGATGTCCTTTTGCTTGAAGTATGTTTCAAGCTTCTTCTCCAACCCTTCTAAGAACGCTTATTTATGCTATCTGTAATCTTGTAGATAACACTGCCAAAAGCTCTGGAGCTTATTCATACTGTTGGAACTAGTTCCTAAATCTCTTGAGATTTCCTCTCTGTGTTGAAAGAATATGCTCTTCGCAAGAAGAATGAAACATGCTTGCCTGGAAAAATGGTTGGAACAGTGGTCAAGCTTGATTATTGTTGAATGGATAAAGAAATTTTATGGGTGCTTAGTTGCTTCGTTGTAAAACAAGGCCACGTAGGGAAACGTGGAAAACAATGCAAAATCTCCTTGCTAGAGACGCACTTAATCACGTTGCTTACAAGGCAACTAACTTGCTCAGTACTTGATTAATGTATTCTAACTTTAAACCTCACGATACAATAGACCAGAGTAAAACTGCATGTTTGGCCTTTGATATTTTGGACAAGATTGGCCAGTCGTATAAATGTAACTTGATCATACTTCCATGGAAATTCCAGAGAAAGAGGTAGGAGCTACTACTCCTACCACCAGGAGAATCAACACTCAGTATAATGGCAGCGACTTGTACGACTCGTTTGAGTTCAGACAAATGACTCATCAGATCAACAAGGCGATGCAAGTCTCGTCCTCCTCCCCGGCTTACCATGAGATGAAAGACAGGATGAAAAAGGCTGTTAAAGGCTCCAACGCTGCCTCGCCGACGTACCTTTTCCGCCTTAATTCTCCACTATATCGTCACCACTTGAATCGAATCTATAAGGAGAGCGCAACAACTCCGAGAAGGATTTCCGGTCTGAAAGCAGCAGATAAAGGATCAGGCCGGAGGCGAGCAAGAGTTAAAGGTTTTGTTGCACGGCTGTGGATGAAGGTGAAGCAAGGTTTTCTGGGGATCAATGGTGAAACGGATGGCGTTAGCAAGTAGATCATCTTTTGAATACCAATAAAAGATAAGGCGCCAAAAATTGTGCTAAGGTAATTTCGTCGTATTGGAAAATAAAGTATCCATAAAAACGGGGGCAAGAAAAAATACTGCGGAATCTGTAAACTGCAAATAGATTGTCTCTGAAACGATGTTACTTCACTGTTCGCCTGTGACTGGGTGACAAGGAAGTACTCATTACAATAACCTGCAAGTTGTAGCTTTCCCGAAAGCAATCGGATAAGAGAATTTTGAATAAACATCAATTGAAAGAGTAAAACCATACATATTCATATTTACGCACTTCTTCCAACGTATAACAACCGGTTATCCTGTCAAATTATATATAATCAGAGTCTAATGTTTTTCCACCAATAGAACTTATGCAAATCATGAGCAAGGGCAAGAGAGGCATGAGCTTCTCGCAGCACATGGCATGCCACAAGTAACTGGGAGGTGGATGTCCTGTATGATTATCAATAACAATGAAAATTGACAAAAAACCAAAAAAAAAAAACAAAAAACTATCTGATTTTCATTCTCTCTCTTCATTAATACACAGTCCGCGTAAAAGCCTGCTCCAGAGAAACAGAGTTCAGGCTATGATGTTTCGAAACCGACAAGGAAGAAGACAAAGGGCATGTAATATATATACATATATATATATATATATATTTCAAAAGAGCTGCTACGAAATCTCTCGTAACTCGGTGGAACGGTGAAAAATTCTAGGGCACCCTCAGTGCCATTTCTTGAAGAAGAGCTCGCTTTTGTGAAGCCTGAATTACATGATTTGTTCCAGCAAGCTATCTGATTTCCATTCTTTCTCTTCGTTATATATAATATTCGTATAATGGCCTGCTTCGGAAGCAGCAGGAAGTTCAGACTACGATGTTTAAAAAAACGAAAAGGAAGAACAAGAGAGTATACAAAACACACACACACACACACACACTCAAAACAGCAGCTACAAAATCTCTTATCACTCAGAAAATACGTGTCTAAGTCAGCCTCAGTGCCATTTCTTGAAGAAGAGCTCGTTTTTGTGAAGCGTTGATTACATGATTTGTTTCTGCATTTTCTAGCACGTCAGTGATTATTGCAGCCGCATGACCTAGAGGTTCTTCAGACGCTCTCTTCAGCATAAAGGCCTGAATAACCACCCAAAAAAAATAAATAAATAAATAAAGGAGAAAAGGCACGAAGGTTTATAAAGAACTGACCAATTAGGAGAGGATTAAATAATCTTAGTAGCTGTTTTGCAGTCACAAGCACAAATTAAACCATCAGATGAAGCCAATAAATATTTTAGGCACTGGAACAGAGATAGTGTTGTGAGGATTAGAAAAGCACCACATTTACTTGTACCCAAAAGGAAAACATTAAAATAGCATTCTCACAATTAGAATCTATGTATTCAAAATTCTTGTTTGAGTAGTTTAAAAAAAAAATTAAATGAAAATGAGAGATGAATTGAGGTTCAAAATGAAAATAAAAAATCAGAAGTGATGATTTTACTTATATTTTTCAATCCACAAGAGATAAGAAAAGATCTAAGAGTCATTGAGGCATCAATAGTAAAAATACAAAGAGAATGAAGTGATTGAAGTTATTATAATTTCAAATGACTAGACTATAAGAAGAATTTAAAATTAAAAAAGAAATGTAAAAAGAGATGGAAATCCAAATCATAAAATTTTGTTCATCCAAATGAGGGATTTGATATAAATCTAAATCCAAATTCAAATCCAAATTTCCATTAATCCAAACACATCATAACAGTATCAAGAGTATTTCTTGAGAATTGAGATCATTGAAGTTAAAATTTTAGCAGCAGAGGGCCATTTCTCTGATCAGTATCATTCAAACTAGTTAATCAGATCTCTACTGACTTGTGAAATATAGAAATTAAGTAATGTAAACAGTGAAACATAAGAACGTAAAAAATGCATGAACTAATTGTTAACATAGCGGGTGATGCATTAAATCTGCACCTCCCTTCTTGCTCGAGTGTGAGAATGAAAACCTGGCCATGATGAGTAATGAACAATGTACAAGGGAGGTGCTGAAACCAAGGCTCCCCATCAATTTGAACAGGAAATGAAGCACACAACTGTATCTTGATTGACTGTCCTTGTGCAAGTCTTCGAGCCCGAGAAAGCCCAACCTGTTTTCCCACAAAGCCATCATCAGATGATTCTGACATTCATGATTTCATAATTCAAATACAGATATTGTCAAAGTCAGGCATCAAAAAGAGTTCATTTTAACTCAGTTAAGCTTAAACAGAATGGATAGATATATGGCACAAAGAGGCATAAGCTAAACCCAACTGAAATGTGGTTTCAGTACCCAAAAACATGATAAAACAAGAACCTTCATGTTTTCTTACTTCTCTGTTCCTTGGGGTTTTCGTTTCAGAATTCATTTCGAATTTAAGTTAATCAACTCCATGCTCTTTTTGAGTTTTCCTCAGTATCACCAGGTTTTAAACGAATGCCCCCAAAGGGTCCAGTATGAGATTTTCTAATGTCCTCAAATTCTAGACCCTTTATCTACATCACAAGCAAATTCAAAACATACAGTTCGTCATTAGAATGAATATCAGGATTTCATTTTTACCTGCAGCTTGCCAAGGTGCCATGTTCCAGATATGACCACAACCTCAAGTACCTTATCGTGCATAGATTGTGGATCAAAATTATCATAGTTTTCATCCTCATTGTGCCACAAATCTACACCTCCCATGTAACTTCCAATATTTGCAACCAGCACCCCTTCAGCATCCTGAACAGATTAAAAGCCAGAGTAATTAACAATGAATGGTGATGTCTTCTTTTTCTTCTTCTTTTGGGTTTCTTTTTTAGGTGGAGGGAATGGAAAAGTATGATTTCCATATATAGAATCACCTCAGGAACCTCAACTTCAACACCATCCACCTCAACTCTAATCTCCCAAGGGAAATCTGCAAAGGTTCTATCTATAATACCTTTAGCACCTTCTCTTGCATATAGCACTTTGTTCATAAACTGCATTTGTTAAAGTAATTTCAGCATCGCATCTAAAAAAATTGAAAAAAGTTAAAGAGAGATCAGCAGGGGTAAACTATAATTTAAGACAGCCAGGGCACAAGAAAGCTGCGGTGCTGAATTCTCCACCTCAAGGTGCTGGATGATAAAGTTCATGGATCATCAGTTCATACACAAATAAGTCTAAACTAGCATCACGTCCGTTAGATGGTCATATCATGTGAGTATACAACAACCTTGAAAGGAAAGATCATCCATCATGTGCAAGGGTATCAGAGGCTTAGCATTATTTACCAAGCTCAAAAAGAAACATGTGAAACCCGCCAGTATAGAAATTCTACAGCAGCTCCTAAGAATTACACTGTCATACTTTGAATTCTGGAAAGGCAGCATAGCGAATAAATGATGAAACAATTTCATTTTATATATTATGTGAACTTAGCGTCCACAACCATAATAAACGTACTGGGTTTTCACCAGTTAGCCAAAGTTAACATGTTCATCACTTTCCTCTAAGCCATTAATGGAAGAAACAAACATTTAGTAACGTGGAATCCAAAATATCTTGTTACCGAATATGTGGCCTTTTCATATTTAATAGTGCACATCCATTTCACTGTTACCCCAGAATGGCCAAACAGAATACTCGATTATCTAGCATGGCATTTTGAGATAAGAGTCTAAGGCAGCTCTGACATTATGCTAAGGCTGCACCAACGATGTAGTCTTGTTTTGACACACTAAAAATGAAGCAATCTCACTGATAGTGAATATATCCAATGGAAGGGGCTTGATAACACTTAAATAATGTGACGGGGTTCAGACCATGAGGATGGAAAAAAATATATTTTGAGAATTACTCTTATTAGGGGCCAACAGTGCTTAATTTAATATGATAGTACTAGATACCAAATAGTTGTAGGAAAAAAAATTGAAGCATTCTCCTAGCTTGCATCCAGTTTCAACTTTTTGATAGTTACAACTTTTCATGAACTGGATCTTCAACATGACAAGTAATTCCAGATTAATTCTAATTAAAGATTACATACCTGGTTATAAAACTTCTCCGGATTGTCCTCTCGCAGGTTATGAATTTCCAAGGCAACTTTTGCATCACAACCAATTCCTAAAACCAAATATTGTCAGGCATTCAGAAACCATGAGTGCAATGCTAATATATTCTTGATACTTAATAATTGAAGTACTTTCGTGCCACCATAAAAGGCTGCTAGCATAAGTATTCACAAAAGGAGATGAGAATAATATCAACTTCACATGAACCAAGATCACTGTGATAAAGACAAATTTACAAGATTGAATTGAATGCTCAAATTTATATGCAGTAAATCTTGCTACACATATTAAACAATTGAGTAGAATCAGCCTACACCGGACAAAGAAGCAGAACTCATGACAGCCAAACAAACACTTCGATTTGCCTAAACCTGATAAACAATCAAACACTCAAATCAGACCATGATATTACCTCCGGACTCCTAAAGGCACATATCTTTCTCCCGTCATAATCTGTAAGTCTCTAAGCAGACTGACCCGTTACTCTGAATCACCTCAAATATTCTAATGGACTACAGTAATCTCAAGAAAAAAGAATTTTCATACCAAGGTAGTTGTTCATAAATTTTGGTGGTTGGAGCTGCTTCCCTTGCGGATTAACAATTGCCACCTTCCACCGATCAAGAATAGTAACCGCAGCTTGCTCTATGTGATGCAAAAATGTGCAAAGGCCTCCCTGCCTCTCCACAGAACCCAAACCACCTCCCCAAGAGAGAACTCTTGCAAGATCATTTCCTGTACCGGCAGGAAGAATAGCAACGGGGGGAGGTGAAACAAAATTTTGCTTGTCTATTGCATTTAGAACCCAACCAACAGTACCATCTCCCCCACATACAAGAACTCTAAAGTGAGAAACTTTTCTAAATAGATATAGCCCCACCTCTGGCCCCTGTGATGAGCTCAATTCAAAAACCTAAACAAACCAAAACAAGGTATATCAGTCGTGTTTAGTAAAATTATTTACAACCAACTAACAAGAGCGGCCAAATGGGCATTTTCAGCATATTTCATGCATATTTAGAGGAAATATTAATTACATAATGTAGTTATGATTTCATGTCATACAAATTTTTTTTAAAAAAAAAAAACAAAGGTAGTTTAGTGAAAAGAGATGAATGCTTAATAGATGGGCGTGGCTTATTGGTTAACAACATATTTCTAAGATCCAAAACACCAAAACTTCCTACTTTATATACACTGCGCTTCCATTGTTCCGGTAACTACTGCATAGGAATTTCACGTTTCATAGAATTCAGTTATTAATCCTTACAAAACATATATCCATGCATGATGGGGATTCTTTTTCATGCTTCATAGAAATACAGTCAATTCATTTCGAAAAGGTTGCATTAAAGCTTCCGTTAAGACTATGACAATGTCTTCCAAAAGCACATATTTTAAAATATTTGCCAGCAGTAGGGCAAGAAAATAGGAAACAAAATCAAGCAGCCAAATGATAACCAACAAAAGTAACAACATTACAGAGAATCAAACCTGAACAGGATTTAAAAGTATATTCAGACGTGTCCTAAGTGAATCACCACGCTGTGCACCACTCTTCTTGTTTATGAAAACTAACAATGGTCTTGCATCTGATGGCAAATCAATCAATTCGTATTGCTGTTTCACTCCCAATATGTGGAATTCATCCTTCTGACTGTTTGATGAAGTGCGCCTCAAACTGGGTTTTTTATCCATCTTATTACTTATTTGAATTGCTTCACCATCTTGGTGTTGAAACTCTTTATTCACATGACCATTACAGTTTTCATCCATTTCACAATGACCATTGACTTTTTGATGAACATCACCAATGCTTTCTGTGGACGTTTCACAAGCAGCATCACCGATCCCAGTTTCATTTGAGGGTTCAATTCCATGTTTGTACTTTTTGCTTTGATTCCTGATACTTGCACGTACCGAAGATGCTATCTCATTTGCCCCATGAGTAATTGAGCTCAAGAAACCCCCTGGCAAATTCCAGTGCAATTCCTTGACATATAGTGGGGACAATATCAATCTTCTAAATGGGCCTAAATCACATATATCACCAGTTTCATTAGACATGCTACTATGACAATCAACATGCACCAATCTTTGACACCACAAGCAACACCATATTGGAGAACCACCGAGGAAAGACCCTCCACAAAGCTCTTCACAATAGCTACAAAAAGAAGTTTCATCAGGTTGATCTGCAACATCCGTCCAACGAACAGCCCACTGGTGCATGACATGCCCATATCCAATCATAGAGACACATTTGCAGTCCTTGTGAGCACTAGGAGAACAGCTCAGATGAGCTGCTGCCCCACAAATACTGCACTGATGAAGAAAACTTTCTGAAGCCAACATAGGACCTAGTGTTTGAGAGAGGGACAAGGACTTCAAACACACACAGCAGTTTAAATTCTTTCCACGAGATGCAGATTCTAGAACCCAATTATGCGGAGCCACAGGTACTTTGTGCCTTGCCTTTGGGTTTTTCTTAGATCTAGCTATGGCTTTCATCCAACTTAGATTGATGTTTCTCCTCCACTGAAAGGCTGTATAGGCTATGGTCAAAATTCCAACTAGAGCAGCGATAAAGCAGGAGACAAAGAAAAGCCTGTCAGAAGGATTCTTAGCATTCCAACTATGAAGAAACGTTTCAAACTCTCTTTCATCATCCATTACTCAACTATAATCCACAATGATGAAACTGTAATGGTATTTAGAATTGTTGAGTTGCCAAGGGCAACAGGATGAATTAGTTCCGATAAATTTCTAGGATCATACACCTAGGTGCCATTCCAACATCTAAAAATTGCATCATCAACCTGAATATCATCTGAAAATATGACTTCATATTCCTCATTCTTCCACAGTTGTCCATATGTGCTTTGACATGCTGCATAAGATATAAGTACACATTCTTTCACTCAGAAATATCGTGATCTAGAAAGACACTCTTTTTCCATGGTTTTTTCTGTACCACCAGGTGCTTATCTGCTGACTTTTGACTCTCAATTACACCGGTTAAACTATGACAAGCGTGCAGAAAACCGACGCCCAAAGAAAAGTGTGATCTTCACGTTACAGTAACTTAATAGACACGTTGGAGACACTATATCAAAGAGTGATCTTAGCTCCTTCCACGTAACTTTTGGTAACCATAAATAAAGTCCCAACCCAAGAAATGAGATTAATCAAATATATTTGCACAAAAATGATGAATACACAAGGCATGGATCACTGAAAAGTATCCTTGACCAAATCAAAGTGATAGTTTAACTTAAAAAGATGTTCAGATAAAAGGGCAAAAATGCAGGAGCCAAAACAAGCGTACGTAAGTCAAGAGGAGAATTTGAAAAAAATTGAAAAACTCCCAGACCTAATGGCATACAAAGAGACATTAGCAACGTTTTCCAAACCAAAGTTATCAAGGTGATGAAAGCACCACCGTCTCAGTCACTACTTTTTCTAACCCACCGTTTCTCAGTTACCCAGAGGAAGCTTTCCGACCCGACAACATAGTTTCTATGCACGCCAATTAACCCGGAATTGATTAAATCACAATCTCCAGACATTTCATGGTTACCAGATGGGGGAAACTTTAGAACTTACAGTTTCTGTTGCGCCAGCAGGATCAATCTAATTGATCAGCGAAAACCCTAGTTAACTTACAGAGAAGGTTACAGTTCGGAAAATGAAGGAAGGAATCGAAGCAAATAATACCCAGGCCAGGACGTAGCTTTTCCAACACTCCGGCGAAAATATAAGAATTCTCTGGCGCTTCGAGTCTAAATCTAAAGTCTATATATATATATCGTAATTTTTTTTACCCCTTTGGTGGGGAAAATGATTTTGTAAGTGGTGACCTGGAGAAGAAAGCATGAGAATCCAATTCTTCGAGTTCCACGTCGACTAAGAGGAAGGCGGGCAGCTAATAGGGTCAGCATCCTGTGGGACCCCGTTTCTTCAATAGCGGTCTCTGAATGACTGGACAGCACTGTAGGCGTAGGACACGTGTAATTGCTCGAAATGAATTGAGCGACGGCAACGGAAAGAATTGTCGTTTTAAAGTGAACGGCGAAAAGTAGATCTCAGCAGCAAATCCGAGAACTTTCCTTTTCTTCACACAATTCAGTAATCGGTATCTAGCTATCTACCGTGTTCTGGACTCTGGAGTCTGAACTCAACTTATCCTATCATGGATTATCAGGAGGTAAGAAGGGAAAAAAAAAATTTATAATGCGTTCGAAGTTCGAATAACCAAAATGTTAAATGTATCGCATGCGTAGCTGTGATGTCATAAGTTCAATAAAAAATGATATAAAATAAAAGTTAATTAACTTTGCATTTATTAAAAAAATATTATTTATAATTTTAAAATTAAAAAAATATTTAATTTTTTAATTTTTATTATTCTTTCTGTAATTAATAACCATAATATATTATTGTATAAAAATTCAAATGACGAAAAATAAATAAGAAATAAAATTAGGGGGAAAAACATTAATTACTTAAGATTTGTCTTATATTAAAATAAAAAACTTTCAAACCTTATCTTGATATGGGATAAAATATAATTAGGTTTAATTTAGAATGTTAAGATTATCCAATAGGAATGTTTAAATAAGGATATTAATTTATTAGATTAGCTTTAATTATTTATTTATTATTATCTTAGATATCAGTATATTTAATATTAGATTTAGACTTAGGATTTAAAATTTAGATTTAAATTATTATTATCATATTATTTTTAGATATCTATAAATAGAGTTAGTTTTTTTATTTATATTCAACTTTAAATGTTATTGAATAGAATTTTCAAGAGTTTCTCCTTCCCTCCTCCTTCTTTTCTGTCTATTCCTCTCTCCCCTTTTTTGTTTCACATCAATTTGGTACCAGAGTTTGATTTCACTTCCTTTTCCTACGCGTGAAATCCACTCTCTCAAATCTTCCCAAAGCCACAAATCATCTCACAAGACCATTGGGTCTCAACTTTATTTAGGCTTAGTTGGCAATATGAGCTACAACATATGCACACGTTTAGATTATCAATATGAATATGCTGGTCTATCACAATATGCTCAACAGCGAAAGGATTATGCTCAGCAGTACACATATAATGAATATCAACAATAGCATGCCTATCTGTCGCAAGAAACTTATTGGCAAGAGAGCCATTAGTATGGTTATGAAGAGCAACAATATGAATACACAAGCCGTCAACAGTATGAGCATATTTATTGTGACAATTACAAGAGTCTCTCTCTCCAATTGAAGTATGCTAATCATAAGCGATATAAATATGAAGATCAATACCGGCATGAGTACATTGAGCAATAACAATATAAGCATCTTAATAGCCACCAACATGATTATGTTTATCAATATGAGGATGGTACTTGTTGCCATTATGAATATACTGACTTTTAAGAGAACATAGACCAAGTTTTAGTTAAACTGGATCGCTTTCGGCAAGAACGTAATTGTTATTTTCACAAACTTATGAGGGATTGTAGTGAAGTTAAGGAGGCAACATATGAGATTAAGAGAATGATCAATTAATTGACGAAACAAATGGAAGAACAAGCATCAAGCGAGCCAACAACGGCAGAAGTTCCTTATTTACCAATAGAAGATTCTCCAAACAATGATCAAGTTACTCACTATACATCAATACAAGTGGCTTCTTCTCAAATTATTTCTAATAAGAGTCAATCTCATCATATTATGGCTATTCATTGTCTGCAAGTTACATCTCTCAGAGTTACTTCATTGCTTAATGCCCAAATCCAACAAAACTTTATCTATTGAAAAGGTTTTCTAAAGATTTTGCATAGTCAAACTACTCACTCTTGCTAGCATTTGTTCTTTCACTACCTCATTTGTTGAAAAGAATTTCCATATCTGTGCACATGGATGAAATTTTATCCCATCCATCCCTCCCCAACTAATTTGTGTATCAAGTTTAACGTGTCAGGAGATGAATTTTTTAAGTGGGGGAGAAATGATGAAATATGAGATGATGATTAATTAATATAATTAGGATTTATTTAAGATATTAGAATTATCTATTAGGGAATAAGGATTTTATTCATTAGAATAGGATTTATTATTTATTTTATTGTTATATTAAATATTAATATTTTTAATATTATATTTAGATTTAGAATTTAAAATTTGAATTTGAGTTATTATTATTTTATTAGTTTTAAAGCTTTATAAATAATTTTAGGATTTCTATTTTGTATTCAACTTTTAAATATTATTGAATAAGAGTTTTTGAAAGTTTCAACTTTCTTCTTCATTCTTTCTCTTCCTCCTCCTCCTTTCTCTTTCTCTCTATTCCCCTCTCCCTCTCCCTCTCCCCGTTTTACATCACTTGCATTCAGGATTGATTAGAGCATCATGATCTTTTCGAGCAATTGAGCCTAATCAAATTACAACCTCGGTCGCCTGGAGCTTTAAGGAACGGGATTACTGAGAAGTTTGTGAAGATCGTTGTGGAATCTCCCTCGCTGACGAGTCTCTTTCCTGTAATGCTGTGACATAATATGTCTGTCCTTTGATTTAGCACCAAATTGTTTGTCTTTGAAAAAACATATTGGACACTGCAGCGAGAGATTTCATGTCCGCTGCATCCATTCAATGTTATGAGTATTTTCAATTGAATCATATCTTTAACAGATTAGTTACTTTGTTTTTAAAATTACAATCTCTTTTACTTCACTAGTCCTCATATATAAAGTCATGCACCAATATAAATATATTATTTAGTTGAAATCACATAAAATTATAATATATTTTTAATATTACCTTTAATAATATTACAATTAATATTACGATGGTGGTGAATAAATGATACAATTAATATTTTTTCCTTTTAAAAATAAGGCAAAATTGTTAAATTATTTAAAAATATTAAAAAACACTTATATGTGGGAATAAAATAAATTTTAAAAAAATACTTTACATATAGGGATAAAGAAAGTAATATTTATTTTTATTTAATAAAGTATTTCAGATAAAAAAATCTTATTAATTACACCTTTTGATTGATACTGTTTCTGGAAAATTTCATTAATTATGCATTAAAAGATTTAAAAGATTTTATATTTTTCTAATATATTGTTTTATGAAAAAAACGCATTTTTATTTTTCAACGGAAGGAGCGTATGAGGAGACGAGTATTGTATGATCGGGTTGCTCGGCTATTGGGTTCTTCCCTTCTCTTGACGCCGACGAAAGATGGAGAAATTACTGTGGCTGTGGTTCTCTGATTTCTTGTAAATGGGTTTGACCGTTTGAGTCCTAATCTTTTTTATTATTATTATTATTTCAGATATTTTCATTTCAATTTACAGCTAATAATAAAAAAATTAAATTTAAATATTAGGGGAGACAATGAATTCCTCAACAGTCAAATCCCTCCGAAGTCCAAAGCCTGCCTCGAACATATTTCAGTCATTCTTTCCGAACCACCCAAACACAGAGGGTGAAGGGTGAAGATGAATAAACTCCAATACACATACGAATAGAGACGAGCGGTAAGCTTGCAATAATTAGCATTGCAAGATTAAAAAAAAAAAAAATATATAAATGACGTTTGATTCATCAAAATATCATAATTTTTTTAAAATTTTTAAAAACTTTTCTATCATTAATTAATTTATATAAATTATTAAATTGTTTTTATTTAAAAGTATTGTTTAAATATTCATAATTTTTTTCTTATATTCACAATAATGTAATAGTAAATAAGAAATTAACATGTAAAATTGTGATTTATTATTGCGTTGTTGTGAATATAAAAAAAGTTATGAATATTTAAATAAAACTTGTGAATTAAAAAATAATTTAATAATTTATATAAATTCATTGATAACAGAAAAATCTCTAAAAATCTTAAAGGAATTATTATATTTTGAGGAATTAAATTGTCATTTATATATTTTAAGAGAATTTTATTATTATTTTCTCTTAAAAAAGAGGTTCAATACAAGTTTTTAAAGACACATTTTATGACAAATTAATACTCAGATATTTATTAAAAAAGTTAATTGTAGTCCATGCTCAGTTACGTATAAAAATACAATTGCTCCTGATAAAGAGACACTCGTGCGCAGTATAAAAAAAAAAAACAGAGAGGCACATTTGGCTTGTTGCTTGCTAGGAGAGATCAACAAAATCGTGAAATAATTTTTATCTGGTATGTTTACTTGGATGACGGAATGGAAGATTTAAGATACTAAAAGACTAGATTAAACTCCTTTGACCAAGTCAAGGAAAATTTGCGTTTGGATGGAAATTGGCTTCCCGGTGAGATGGGCTCAAGCATGGCCCAAGTGAGGGAAAAAATACCTGCAGCTTGGATACCAATGATAATCAGTCTTGCAAGTCAAAACCATAGCTTTATAAAAATATATCCAAGACACTTCTATATATAATAAAATCAATTATAAATTTTAAAAAATAATTTTGTAAAATAATTTATATAATTTTTAGATAATTTTTAGAAAAATATAATTAAAAAGTAAGTAATTGTAATTTGTGAGATAATCATGGTTTTATATTCATAATTGATGTTGACATATATAAGAATGTTTGGATATTTAAAAAAAAATCATGATTTTGTGTTCATAATTAATTTTGGCATATATAATAAATACTTTGACATTCCAAAAAAAATATAATCTTGAATTTATAATTAATTTTGACATATAAGAAAGTATTTGAATAGTCTATCCATTTAAAAATATAAGACATTTTTAATTGAACCTCACTTCCCAATAAAATAATTATCTACTTTCAAACTAACTCTATTTTT